ACCCAAAAAGTTGAAACCCAAATGTCTGTCAATAGATTATGAGATGCAATATATCCATACAATAAAAAATTATTTGTCCCTAGAAAGTAAAGTACTGATATATACTACAACTTGCATAAACGTCCAAAATAGTATACTATGAGAAAGAAGCCAGGTACAAAGTCACATACTGAATTATTTTATTTACATGAAATATCCAAAACAGATAAATTCATTGAAACAGAAAGCATATTAGCTGTTGTCAGGGGCTGGGGGAAGGAAAAAATGAGAAGTGACTGCCCAGTGAGTATGAGATGAGCTCAACTGGACACAGTGGAAATGTTCTGGAAGTATACGAAATGCCACCATATTGAGTGCTTTAAACAGTTAATTGTATGCTATATAAATCTCATCTCAATAAAAATGAATAAAAATATCACCCCATAAAAAAATGCAGTTCAAGAACAGGCATACTTTGTCTACTTATAACACAAAATACTAAAATTATTTTCCAAGACATTTCTTTACATACCTGATTACCAGCCCTTTTTTTTTCCAATCCTCTAAGACATTCCTGACTAAATCCACCACTCCCTTTTCCTCTAGAATCTTCATATCCACATGGCTCAGCTGTCCCTTTCTCCATCTTCACCTCCCTCATTCCTTCATTTTGCCCTGAGAACTCCCTGCTTTACTGTTGAGTCAGCTCCCAGTTAACTTGCTCCTCTTCCTGTGTTCTCCAGGCTTAAGGAGTCATCATTAACTCTTTCTCTTTCTCTCTCACCCAGTAAACTATCAAGTTATGTCCATATTCCCACCTAAAGCTCTCCCAAATTCACTTTCTTCTTGCTATCCCTACTACTACTGCTTAACTTAATTCTGTCCTCATCACTTTTAGCCCATAATACAATAGAAAGCCAATCCACCAATCCCATCTTGAAAATTACTAACTCTGTAATTCAACCTCCACAGTTACTAGAATTCCTTCTAAAATAAAAATGTGAACAAGTTATTCTCCTGTTTAAAATCCTTCAATGGCTCCAGGGCTTTCAGGGCAATTCTTTAAGATGGACACAGAAAGTCCTTTTATGAGCTAGGCCCTAGTGTCCTCACTGAGTCTGTAATCCCTCATTCATCCAACTGTCACCTTTCTAGTCAGACTAAAATACCTGTGTATCCCCAAACTCACTGTGTTTTCATGTACATGCTATTCTTTTCACTTAAAACCTTTCGCTCTCAATCTGTAATCCCAGCACTTTGACAGGCCAAGGCAAGTGAATTGCCTGAGCCTGAGGGTTCGAGACCAGCTCAGGAAACTTGGCGAGACCTCGTCTCTACAATCAATCAACCAATCAATCAATAAGCCAGGCATGGTAGCGCGTGTCTGTAGTTCTGGGTACTTGGAAGGCTGAGGCGGAAGGATCGCCAGAGCCCAGTAGGTCGGGGTGGCCATGAGCATGTCACTGCACTCCAGCCTGGGCCACAGAGTGAGACACCAACTCAAAAAACAAACAAACACAACTTTCGTTCCAACCCCACCCTCCATCCCTAATCTGTTTCCAGTCAGCAAACTACTACTCATCCTTCAAAACTCAATTCTAGCATCCTTGCTTCTAACAAGTCTTTCCCAACTCTCCAATTTGAAATAAGTGTCTTTCCATGCTCCCATGCCACTCTGTATTTTTTTCATTTACTATACATACATATATATATATATATATTTTTTTTTTTTTTTTTTGAGTCAGTCTCACTCTGTTGCCGAAGCTGGAGTGCAGTGGCAAGATCACGGTCATCACAGCCTCACCCTGCTGGGCTCAGGTGATCCTTCTGCCTCAGCCTTCCAAGTAGCTGGAACTACAGGCCTCCATCACCACACCCAGCTAATTTTTTGATTTATTATAGAGATGAGTTCTCACTAAGTTGCCCAGGCTGGTCTCAAACCCCTGGACTCAGACAATCCTCTCACCTTGGCCTTCCAAAGTGCTGGGATTACAGGCGTGAGCCACCATGCCCAGTTCACTCCCATATTTTAATATTTCATCTTTTTTTAGGTTTCCCAAACTATACCGTTAGCTCCTTTAAGACTGTCTTTCCTTTCCATGACTCAACACTTAAATACAATAAAATGTTCACAAATAAACCTCCTCTACATGCCTCCTTTTTAACTGAAACCTGCCTTCTGCCAACAATGCCATGTAACTAGTAACCCTCTTTCACAGATACCTTATCTCCAACCGGCTCACCTCCTGTCAATCAAAATGAGAATGGTGACTCCGTTCCCACTCCATCACTGGCACTCCACTGCCACATCAGGTCCATTACCTATAATTATTCTACTTCCCCTTTAGGTCTATATCCTAAATCAATCTCTCCACTTTCTCATCACCATCATTTACCATAGTCAAGACACAGTTCCAACTTCTTCAATGAACTCACCACCTAGTTTATGTTTTTCCCAACCTATTCACATTCTGTCATCAACTTCAGCATCTCTGCAGATTCTTTAGCGCAAAATAGAAAGTAGCAGAGAGCTAGTTTCCAAGGAAAGATAATAAGTTTTCCTTTCAGCATGTTAAATGTGAAATAGTAAGATAACCAAATGGCAAATATTCAGTAAGATATACTTGGAGAACTTGAAATCAACAAAATGGTTAAGAAAAGGAGATGCCAATTTTACATCATAAATGCTGAAGTGATTAATGAAACTAGGTGTGATCTCAGAAAAAAGACAATTTAGAGAAAGAAGAATCGATTAAATGCTTATTTTGGCCTTCTATAATGTTATGTCTAGCCCTGAATCATTCGGTACCTGTCATCTTGCTCCAAGATACCAAGTATTCCTGAATAAAGTTATGAAATCCTTCAAAGGGAGTTCATTACAAGTTCATATTATTTTAATTTTAACTGAATACTACCTCTCTAAACTTATTCCCTTACTGTTGATTTGCTAACATGAAATGATTTCCAAATTATCAGCTTCAGATTCCTGGGGAGCTACAGTGACCTCAGTGAGTACCCAGAGGCATGCATTATATAAAAACTATCTTCCACATATATGCATTAACATTTTTTAAATGTGCTATCAATATGCTGTGGGTAATAAAATACAAAGTTATCTAAGAGAGCACTGACTAGCAGTTTTCTCATATGCATTTTCTCAATTCATAAATACTAAAAATACAATCAGTCATGGGGGGAGGTCCACAAATTGTTGTAATTGTTGTGACATTAAAGAGGTTGTCATCTTCAAAATACTGATAACCAAAGCCAGAGAGTATTCTCCCACAGCATTTAAAAACCTCTCCACACTCTAAGCTTCCAATTATCCTCTGTTCTCTCCCACTTCTGATTTCATTTTTCCAAGAAAATCAAACACATCCTTATATGTTCTCTCATCCACCTCAATCTATCTGAATTTAGTTCTCTCTACCTCTATAAATATTTGAGGATTTAGCAGTTACTGGTATGGCCTTCCTTTTTTAAGACTAATTCCTAAAAGCAACATATACACCTGATCCCATCTCTTACCAGGCCCCATTAAACCAATTCAAACAGGTTTTAGTATCTTCTTCAAAAGTTTTTTCCTTTCTACTTAAAAACATCATCAGATCTCCCTTATTTGGACAAGACATTTTCTTGACTGATTTATGTTCTATTTATTTTCTTCTCAGAGTTAGCCAACTATAGCCTGAGCCAGCCACTTGTTTTGTAAATTGGATTCTATTAGGAAGAGACACTTCCATTTCTTTAGGTATTATCTAAAACTGCTTTCCCACAAAAGCAAGAGTTGAGTACTTAAGAGATACTATGGGCTGGGTGGTGGTTCACACCTGTAATTCCAGCATTTTGGAAGGCTGAGGCATGAGGATCACTTGAGCCCAAGAGGTTGAGACAAACCTGGGCAACATGGCAAGACCTTATCTTGCAAAAAAATCAAAAAATTAGCTAAGAGTGGTGGTATGCACCTATAGTCCCAGTTACTCAGGAGGCTGAGGAGGGAATATTGCTTGAGCCCAGGAGTTAGAGGCTGCAGTAAGCCGTGGTTATGTTGCTGCACTCCAGCCTGGGCAGCAGAGTGAAACTCAGATGCAATTTTTTAAAAAAAGAGATCCTATGGCCTGGAAGCCTAAAATATCTCCTATCTGTCTCCTTAAAAGCATGGATCTACATTCAATGTCATCATTTCATGAAGAAAGCAGGGTGCCATTAAAGATTCTGAGCAGCAGTAAAGTACCATGAGTAAAAGAGCATTTCAAGATTACTAGTTTAACAACAGTGTATAAGGCAGCTATATAAAAGAAGATCATTTAGGAAACTATTGCAAGAGACTAGGCATTAGGCATAAAGGGAGGGAAATGAAAGGAACTTTTAAAAGGAATAAGTATCAAGATGAGATGACTACATGTAATAGAGGAAACAAAGATAACATCAAAGTTTTAATCAGTGATGACACTGCTCTCAAAATTTGCATTTTCTTCTATAATCTACCTAAGACTTACAGCTCTTCATAGTTTCCTTTCCTACTAACTGTGGTGTTCTTAAAATGCTACTACTAATTTCCTACCTTCTGTGTACTAGGCATTACCCACGCTTGCTATCTGACTAACTACTGGAGAAGCAAATAACTTAGGAAGAGGCAGTCCCAACAGAGATGGCTGAATGAGAGTACAGGGCCAATGTCAGAGGTGGATGGAGTACTTACCTGTGGTACCAAGTAGAGAGAGAGGGGAAGTAAGATTTCAGGTCCAGAACTGGCTCTAGCCAAACAGGAAGAAGCAGCTATGAATTTGGTTACAGCAGAAGCAGTGTCTTTGGTATTCTGACACACCACTCTTTCTGATGTTCAGACAGACCACCATTAGAGTAGCCACTGGTAAGAGAGTCACATGAGAAACAAGCCAAAAGAAAGACCAAAAGGTGAGGAATGAAAAGGAGCAGACCCTATTGGTCTTCTGTCTAGAAAAAGCAGTCCTTCTTATTAAAGATGATACAACTTTCAAAATGGCCAATATGATACTAACCTTCAGTAACAGAGTTTTCACATCCCACAAGGTTGAGAAGAATGTCATCATCTTTATCATCTACTTCACATCCCAGTAGCATCCAACTTTCCACATTATCGCTTTCTGAAATGGTGCTCTCTTCCTCTTCACTTGAACTGACCTCTATAATCATGACTTCTCGGATCACACCTGATCTTTCTTCAGGTTTAGACTTCTCAGCATCACTCTTATATTTCTTTTCAGCCAACTCATTAGAATGAAGAGAAGCAGAAGGAGACTGGGCACTTTCCCGTGCTTGGACACTAATATTCTTTCCTTTACATCTATAAATACTATCTTCATCAGACAGAGTGATAACCTCTGACCCATCTGATAGCTGGATGACCTCACTATCTGAAAGGACAATTAAGTTCTTCTGATCTGGTTTACTACTTGATGATTCAGAATACCCAGAGTTCTTTTCTTCATGTTCTTCCTCACTGATGACACTACCAAGATCTTGGGCATAATGAACTTGGCTGTAGAGCTGAAATTCCACCTCACTATCAACACTCAGTTCACTAGATGACTCTTCACGATAAAGGTCATCTTCATATGCTTCTATAGTCTCATAGCCACCAAACATCATGGAAAGTCAGTAACCCTGATGCTGCAAAAGAGAAAGTCACACAAAAAATGTATTTTACAAGTTTAAATCAGGCCTTTTTAGTGCACAATATCACCCCATAGAGCCAACTGCTATGTGAAACCCATCACTACTCTCAGATATATTAAAATATCTTTTATCCAAGGATTTCTAAATTCTGTTAGGAGCTACTCTAAAAATGCCCACCCCTCGCTAATGAGAATTACTACTGACAAATCGAGTTATAGTTATTAATGGAAATACAGTCACACATCGCTGAATGACAGCTATACATTCTGAGAAATGTGTAGGCAGGTGATTTCATATTGTGAGATCACAGAGTGTACTTAGCAAACCTTAGATGGTATAGCCACCTATTACACACCTAGGCAATACAGTATGGCCTATTGCTCCTAAGCTACAAACCTGTATAATGTGTTACTTGACTGAATACTGTAGGCAACTGTAATACATTGTTAAGTATTTGTATATCTCACCATAGAAAAAGTACAGTAAAAATATAGTATTATACTTTTAATGGAACTACTGTCATATAAGCAATCTGTTGTTGACCAAAATGCCACTATGCAGCACATGACTATCATATTTCGCAGGAATACTCTAAAGGAAAAAAAAAGTTTGACGCTTAACACTTCTCCAAAATGTTAAAAATAGCAAAAGGATTTTAAGCAGCTCTCACTATTCATTCCACCTACTCTTCATTTTTTCATTGGTTCTGTATCTCATCTTCTCAGGTATACATTCTCATACAGAAATATTACTTAAACTATAATTAAAATCCACATCAGGAAACAATTATATTTGCTGTTTGAGTGTAAATGTGAATTCTCAATTAACAAATTAATCTCATGGCCTTCTGATCCTTGGCCAAAAGAATACATAAAAATACCTGATAAGCCTGTTTACTTCTGCATTCGTTATAAAAATGTGTATGAAATACAAACTTAATAAAGATCTAAAATTGAGGCAAAACTCCCAGTTGACAATAAATGCATAAAGTGAAACACTTTACTTTCTACTATGAGCATATTAAATCCTTTTCAGCCTTCAACTCAGCTTAAATATCACTTCCCACCAGACTAAATTAAGTGCCCCTTTTACAGGCTTCCATAGCACTCTTCATTTCAAAACATTCACCACATTTCTAATTACTTATTCAATGTAAATTTACCAGAAGCACAGATCACAAACCCCAGAAAGGCAGGAGCTATATGCACTCTGTTAAACAATGGATCAGCAAAGGCAAGCAAAGCAACTGGTAATTGGGGGCAGTCCATAAATGTTTGAAATATATCATCAATTTATTTGTTCTTCAGCCCCAATAAATCTAGTATGTACTTAAAATACAGAAATTATGATGGGATAAAATTCTCAGTTGTCTTCCAACTATTCCAAAGTCTTAAATTCTCATATCCTCAACCAAAAATCCACACAGTAGATGTTTCCATTAGTTACTGATAGAATCCTGATCAAAATGAGAGCTCTGGAAAAATAAGTCATGTTTGTTCAACAATCAGGGACAGCCTAGAGAACAGTAACAATGCCGATTTATTCTTTTTTGCATTGTAGCTATACAGATATAGTGTAAAAGAATAGTCATTTTTAGTTTTCCAAATCTCTGCCCAAAATATCAGGGTGTGGTAGTGGTAGTTTTGGTAACAGAATCAGCTGAACCCAAGAATCAAATGAACAGACAAAAATGTACTATGCTCATAAGGGGGTTGTTGTTTTCCAGAAATAAAGAAACCAACTTTCAATGCCTTTTTTCTTCTAAAAAATAAATTATACCTGTTCCCTTGTTGCACTGTCCTTCAGGTTGCTATGCTGTTATTGTCATACAAGTTAAATGTGCCTGTCTGAATAATGCTCATAGCATTTATCAGTTTATATTGAAATGTTAGTCTCAGAGGAATTCAAATAAAAGATGAATCCTCTCCTTTTTATTTAATAGGTAAATTAATTCTAAAAGAAGTCAAAGGAATTATGCTTCCTCCAAAATCCTCACTGGATCCATCCTGAGGATCCAGTGTGGACTTAAGATAAAACGTAATTCCAGTGTAGCATAGAAAAAAATTAAAGAGCTAAATTACAGAGTTACAAATTTGTACTACTCTTGGAGCCATCCCAAAGGAAAGGGATTAAGAATAGAGCCATAGGCACACCTGTGAATGTATGCCAAAAATTCACTACAGAACCATAATAAAAACTGACTTCCTTGGGTCTAAGGATTTATCTCTTTCCCTGAAATGTAGAAAAATGAATTTAACAATTTAGCCCCTATGGCCTTTAAGAGGATTTTGAACCTTCTGTACTTGAAAATTGTGCTTGACAAAACGTGTTCTCTTTTATTTATGTAGCTTATGTATGCCAGCGTTAGGGTTTGCCTGAGGCTGTTTTGGTTTATGTTACTATTTTAATTACGTTCAGATGCATTTAGTTCACTTTTTTTCAAAATGTGCTCTCAGAGGACAATATGTATTTCATATATAAACACATGTACATATGCACACACATACCCCTTGACTCAGAAGGCTTTCTCGGCTTTTTGATACCTGTACACAACTTCCAAGCATACTTAGCCATATTATTTTATAGACTTCTCAATCTACATATCAGGAAACTGAGGTACAAAGAGATAAGGAGGCCTACCCAACATTATGCAACTAATTAAGACCACATCTAGCACGGATTCACAACTCTGTGACTCAAAGTTTCACTAAAATTTTTAAAGAAAATTTTCAAAGATTTTTTTTTAAAAACCTTTCTTCATTGTTATCACTGGTTCTTACATCTAAATTTACCTTACAAATATCCTTTTTACTTCGCAGAAGAGTATAAAAACTATGAAAGAGGTATTTTAGCTGGAAGGAAAGCACACATTTAAATGTCAGTTTACCACCCAAGAACCTCTCAAGTTGGTACTCAAAAGCTTTATCAACCCTATGACCAAAAAGGATGTTTCCTATATAAAAACCTAAAATATCATGGGAATGAAGCTAGTCTAAAGAATTAAAATAGCTTAACAAATATATAAGAGCTACAGAGAATAACTGCAAAGGCTCTCACTATTCAGGAGGGAGGAGTATTCATTCACAGAATTTTTTAAACTAGAAAATTTTAGGTTTATTTAAGCTTTCATAACTTACCTAATACAATCTCTCTCTCTCTCTCTCTTTTTTTGAAAGCAGGATTTATTAAGAAGACAAAAAAGCTCCCACAGTGGAGGGGACCCATGGAGGTTGCCCTACCTAATACAATCTTTAGTGTCAATCCTTCTGCTGTCTACCTACTGGTCATTGTGGATATTTTGCTCTTAACTTTCTAAAGCACTTTTCGCCTAGATGTTCCTTCTTGATGACACTGGCATCCATCTCAGGCAGATTTAAATCAAATCCAAAGCTTCATTTTAAATCCAATTTTCATTGAAATGTGATCAATACACAGTTTACTTTAAACTTGAAATTTCTTTCTTACTCTTAGTGTGCTGCCCTGACAGTGCCAGTTGAAACACAATGGACCACAGGGTTAACATTTCTGTCTATTCTTCAAATGTGACCGCCGCTGTGAATCAAATCTGACTAGGATAGAGAATCCAAATGTGTGAAACAAAGGTCACAAAAGATAGAAAGACACAACACAGTATCTTGATGAAAGAAAATTATGCTAAATGTAGTCCATAAGTCCCAGCTGTTCTTGAGATATAGGCACTTTTTATGAGAACTAACCTTAGGTGGAAGCATTTCCTTCACCTTTCCCTCAGCCCTTTTCCTTTTGCCATGGCAGTCTATTACCCTTGCTTGCAGCTATCATATAATCCCCAGTTCCAGTGCTTCCTCAGTTCTTTCCCCATCCTCAGATTCTGTTGAAAATAGCAATGCTAAACTGTCCCGGAAGCGTAATACTTTCCTAAATAAACACACCGTCCAATTAAAAGACTTCGTACGGGATACTCTAAGTACTCAAAACACAAAGTCAAGAGCTTTTGAATGAACCTGAAAGAGTCATCAAACTGAATGCTCTCCCTTTACATTTGGGGAAACGGGTTCAGAGAAGCCTATATATCCACGGAGCTTTACAGGCCCCAATCGATCCCCGAACTCAATGCTGTAATCTGAAGTAATCGTAAAGTCAGCCTAAATAAGAGATTTCTGGAATCGCCAGTGAGTCAGTGGCGGAACCGCGGCTAGAATCCAGCCTGCTGACTCTTAGCCAGTTTTTCACTGCACCGGCAGCTAGATGTGAACTGTCCGCCCCCGGGACGTGAGGGATAAAGGGAATCTTAGCAAATCATAGTAAACGTCGTCCAAGTGTCCTTTTACATGAGGGAAGGGTCACAACTCCCGAAATTGTTCTGGTCCCACAGCTGCAGTTGCTGCTTCTGACAGCAGAGACAGGACTTGGGCCAGGACTACTCGGTCCCCAAAGGCTGGACTCAGCGCGGCGGGATCTCCGCGTTGAACTGACTGGCCGGCTTCCCGCAAAGACAGGGAACCTTGGGGAAAGGTACATCAGGCAGAAATGCCACCCCCACCGAGGCCATAGCCGCCCAGCCCCTCTACAACCACGGCCTCAGGCCTTGGAGGGGCAGGGCGACGCGGACCCCCCGGCTGGTCAGCAGAGCCGCGTAGGACGGCACGAGCCTGGGGCCACGAGCCGGGGGCTGACGGGGGATGTAGAGGCCGACAAGAGGCACGCGCTAGGTCCACAGCCCGGTGGGCGAGACGGAGGGTGGGCAGGGGCTCCCTGGCCGCAGGCGGCTCAGGGTCCGTCACACACATACTCACTGCCGCGGCTGCAACCAGGAAGCAGCAACCAGGAACCAAAACGCGTAGAGGGACGGGGAGGGGCGACGACAAATGAGGTAAGGAAGCCGCGTCCGCGCAGAGCAGGCAGGAGGAAAGGCACTTCCGGGGAAAACACCATTCTCGGAGTCGTCTTTCCGTCCCCGCCCACTCGCCGGGCCTTGTGTGCGCATGCGTGACAACTATTCCTCCGTTTCTCGTCTCCGCAGATAATCCTTTGGTTTGCCTTCCTTGTATTGCTCCTTCCCCCTTCACTCCTTTTTTGAAGATATCTAGGCTGCATCTACTACGGGGCACATATTGTTTGAATGATTTGCACAAAAGAGATGCTACTTACCAAGCAAGAGCCAGGGAGTTCGAGACCTCTGTGCCACGCGAAAAGAACTACAGCTCCCATGATGCCCCTGGGCAGGACTCAGGACGGGCTCCGCCTCCGCCTCCCTCGCGCTCTGGGGCTGCCCTCCCAGTGCCACGTGGCGCGAAAGCCAAGCTGATGCTAGGATGCATGACGATGGCCGGCGGAGCAGGCGGCGTAGTCCGCAGACCCGGGGAGCCCCGGCGGGGGGAAAAACCACTTTGAGGATGCCTGGCTTCTAGCTTTTCCCGTGCTATGGGTGACTTCAGGCTGGTTCCTTCCGCCTTTCAGGTTGAAGTAGAACATGGTTTACACTGGGCGCTTCCGTCTCTCTGGATGGAATACCAGGCAGCAGATTTAACTCTTGGTGAACCTTGAAGAGCTGCGTGTTTGCTAAAGATTGGATTAATGCCTATTCTTTGGAAGCCTCTGGAGTCTACAAGACTGTGCTGGGAGACTGGCTTCACTTCCCCTCTCACGTCTTTTTTTTTTTTTTTTTGAGTTGGAGTCTCACTGTGTTGACACCGCAGCCTCGACCTGCTAGGCTTAGGCTATCCTTCCGCCCCAGGCTTCCAAGTGACTGGAACTACAGACGCACGCCACCATGCCTGGCTAATTTCTGTGACTTATTGTAGAGAGCAGGTATCACCAGGTTGCCCGGGCTGGTCTCGAACCCCCAGGCTCAGGCAGTGCTCTTGCCTCGGTGTCCCAAGATACTGGAATTACAGGCATGAGCTACCGCACCGGGTATCACATCTGATTTTAATACTTATAGTAAACCCATCTATACAGTTTTTGAAATAACTGTCGACCTAACGGAAAACAGGCAAAGTTACTATGAAGAGAGGGTTTCTTTGGGATGAGTTTAACGGCAATCTGGGAGCATAAACCCAAGTTGCCTTTAACATAATTCATTTAGCAGCAGTTACAAGTGAGTTTTTAAAGGGGGTAAAATTGTTCACAAATAATTTGCGCTAAAATAATGGAAACTCTTGACTGGCTAAACATTGTTCTCTGTATCACAAACTGGGAATCTGAAGATGAAGGATGAGGCACCTACAAGGATGAAAAGAGCAAACTGCCATTAAACCCTTGGCCTGGGCATTGGCCTGGGGGCATGACCGAAGTGCCTTCTGTGTCTCTGGGCCTGATGAATCTTACATACCAACATAGCTCAGTGCTATTTTTGCTTTTCTTTTTCATTTTTTATGAGCAAGAGTCTCACTCTGTCGCCCAAGCTAGAGTGCAGTGGCACTCTCACAGCCACCACAGCTTCAGCCCGCTGGGTTCAGGCGATCCTTCCACATCAGCCTTCCAAGTAGCTGGAACTCCACACCCAGCTAATTTTTTGATTCATTGTAGAGACAAGGTCTTGCCAAGTTGCCCAGGCTAGTCTAACCCCTGGGCTCAGGCAATCCTATTGCATTGGCTTCCCAAAGTGCCTGGATTTACAGGCGTGAGCCACTGCAGCTGCCCTATTTTTGCTTTTCTTGGAAGGGAACTCTTTATCAATTTGTTGGCCCCTGACAACAACCATGAAAAATAAGACTGACTTTGATTCTTTTTGCCAACGTTTATTGAACATCTCTGTTAAGAACCAGACAGTGGCCCGGCTCGGTGGTTCACTCCTATAATCCCAGCACTTTGGGAGGCCACAGTGAGAGGATTGCCTGAGCCTGTGGGTTCGAAATCAGCCTGGGCAACTTGGCAAACCTCAGCTCTACAATAAATCAAGAAAAATTAGCTGGGCATCATGGCTCATGCCTGTGGTTCTAGCTATTTGGAAGGCTGAGGTGGAAGAGTCACCTGAGCCTAGCAGGTCGAGGCTGTGGTAGCCGTGAGCGTGCCACTGCCCTCCAGCCTGGGCAACGGGGTGAGACTCCAACTCAAAAAAAAATAATAATTTTTTTAAAAGCCAGGTAGTGCTAGAAAGTGCAGATAAGCTATGCAGTTTTTGGCGATAGTGGGACACTACAGGGAGTGGGGGAGCAGGTTTGGCCTGGAAAATAATTAGAAACTTTAATTAACATTATGGCAAATGCTGGGGAGAAAGACAAGGTACTACGAAAAGCTAAAATTGGAGAACCCATTTGGCAAATAAGGAAACAGGCAATGAAGTAAGCGACTGGTTACTGAATTGTTTGTTAAGGTAATGTATATTGTGTAAAACAAATGTTATCTTTTTAAAAAAATTGGACTTTTATTAAGTGCCAGGATTATTCCTGTTAATGTATTATATAGTCTTTTAGATTTCAACAATAATTTGAGGTTGGTTTTTTAAATTTCCATTTCTCTCTCACACACACAAAGAAACAGATTCAGAGAAGCTAAGTAAAACTTGCTGAAGTTCACAAGTTTAGGAAATACAAACTGTGTTCAGTCAACAACAGACCACATATACCACGGTTCCCATAAGATTATCATAGGTTCCCATAAGATTATTATACCATATTTTTACTGTACCTTTTATATGTTCAGATACAAAAATACCATTGTGTTAGAATTGCCTACAGTATTCAATTCAACATGCTGTTCAGGTTTGTGGCCTAGGAGCAATAGGCCATACCATTTAGCCTAGGTGTGTGGTAGGCTATACCATCTAGGTTTGTGTAAGCACACTCTATGATGTTCACACAACGATGAAATTGCCTAACAATGTATTTCCCAGAATATATGCCCATCATTAAGCAATGCATGACATGACTGTACACCTAATTACTGTGCCTTATCTTCCCACTGTTATCATGCATTCAACAGAGATTTACTGCTCTCCCATGCTCAGTATGCTTTAGTCATAACCCTTTTAGGTTATGTCTTAAAACCCAGAGACCTTTGGATGGCATAAAAGGCACTTCATGAGCTGACATCTGCCTATCGGTTTACCACCTTGCTGAATCCTGAGCAGTTGCCAAAACACACTATGCTCCCCCACATCTGTACCTTTGCAGAAGACACTCCCACTGCCTATAAAGTCTTTCTTCTTGTCCTTCTAACATACACCTGTTCACCTTTCTCTGCCAGACAGAGTAGGCATTCCTTTCCCCAGACTCCCTACACTCTGAAGAAACGTTCTTCAAGGCAAATATATTGTATTTGTCTTAAACAGTTGTCTCCTGCTGGACTATGGATTCCAGTCATCTGAAGGCAAAAACTTTGACATTTTATCTCTGTATCTTCACCAACTGACACAGTGCCTGGCAGACAGAAAAGCATTCAATAAAGGTGTAGGTTCTAGGAAACCAAGAGTCAGATTGGTATCCACCAGCTGTTAGTTCAGTGGGAAAACCACACAATGACCCCAGTTAATTGGAATGCAATGTGGTGCTCCATGACATTCAGACAGTTATAAGACCATTGCAGGGTTCCCAAGGATTCAGAAATTTCTAAGGGGAATAACATACATATATTTATACATACACATCCCATGCCATTACATAGTGAGTTCTCATTTAGAAGACCTTTAGAAATCATGAGATTCAGCAATGCGGAATCTGAAGTCAAGAAGGAAAAGATTTGCCAAAAGTCACTTAGCAGAGATAGAACTGTGTCTATAATCCAAGTCTCTGAGTCTCTCTCCACATACACACATACATAGTACTTCTTTTTCCACTTCAAGTTATCTCTGGTCCCCACTTCCTGAGATCATGAATGGCATCATGTACCAAGTATCCTGTACCTTTTCTTACAGAGGCCGTTCTAAAGGGACCCTTTATTTGAAAAAGGAAGCACCTGTTTTCCCCAGGGCAGTGGTGGAAAGTACTGCGTCAACAGTGAACAGCTGAATTAGAATGCGGGGCCAGGATGAAGTAGAAATCTGCTGCAGAGAGCAGAGAAGACAGGCTATTCTGTAGCAGGATCTGGGCAAGTGGCACATATTACTAATCCTTATCCTTCCCGTTGAAAACAGAGGAGCTACCTCCTTTCTTTTTTCCCAGTTCATTAGTAGCTCCTACAACCTTTTTTAAAAAAAAAAAAAACAAGATTTATTAAGAGGACAGAAAAGCTCCCACAGTGGGAGGGAACCCGAAGAGGTTGCCCCTCCTACAACCCTTAAGAACTTACCGTGATGACCTTGTTTTTGTTGTTGAGTTGGAGTCTCACTCAGTCGCCCAGGCTGGAGTGCTCACTGGTATGCTCACAGCCACCGCTGCCACTACCCACTGGGCTCAGGCAATCCTTCTGCCTCAGTCTTGCAATAGCTGAAACTATAGGCACGTGCCATCAGACTTGGATAATTTTTTTGATTTATTGTAGAGATGAGGTCTCACCAATTTGTCCCAGGCTGATCTCAAACCCCTGAGCTCAGGTAATCATCTTACTTCCATCTCCCAAAGTGCTGGGATTACAGGCGTGAGCCACCACACCCAGCCATGTTGACCTCTTAACAGCTGCCTTTCAGTTACTGTTCATTCACTGTGAACCTTCTGTGTAATAGGCCCTTGCTAGTCACTTCAGATATATTGTCTCTCACCCAGCCTCAAAATGACTATATAAGGGAGGTAATTAGCTGCATTTCACTAGTATAGTAATTGAGACTTAGGTCAATGACTTGCTCTAAATAACACAACTGGGAAGTGGTAGAGCTGGGATTCAAACTCAAGTCTTGCCTAAATTCAAAACTCATGGCTCTTCTGTACCCAAAGTTACATTTTGAAGCTGAACTTGAGCGTGGAGACTATGATGGCCTGCTTCTATCTCTTGACCCAGCACCAAGCACACAGAGGGCTCACAGTGAACACTTGTGGAATGAGTGAATTCTGTATGGGATTGTTGGTGAATAGA